ACATAGTATCGAAAATGTTGTTTTTGGTATTTTATGTTTAAAGTGTTCAAAGTAAACAAAGCAATAGAAGCGTTGAATCGAAAAGCAAAACAGAAAATTGAATTGCCAAGAGGTAAAAATGCAGAAACCTTAAATTTGCATTAAATGACAAGAAATTGGAGTAGCGAGAATGTAAATGACAAGAAATCGAGATTACAGAAATGTAAATAACAAGAAATCGAGATTACAGAAATGTAAATAGCAAGAAGCTTAAATGCGGAAACTTAACTTTCATTTAAAGGAAATGACAAGGAATCGAAAGTACAGAAACTTAAAATTGCTAAAGATAAATTGCATCAAATTAGATTACCAAGGAAAATAAAGAAAGCGGTAAAGGTACTCAATGAGCATGGAAATCCAGATCGCCAGAAACTTCATGATGTTCGTCATTCTCTGGTAGACTTCTCACTAGTATTTCTGTTCTCTGCCAATTTTTCCACCCTTCTTCCTTTTCATCTTTTGCTCTATTTATAGATCATCTTTCAAGTAGTCTCTTAGGAGCAGTTAACGAAACTGCTACCACGTTCTTCGTGCATGTTGCGGTTTCTTTTCCTGTGGTGTTAAAACCGCACCCACGTTCCCATGATCTTCGACCTCCGCCACGGTTAAAAACCGCTTCCTATCTCGCATGTTTAACTATTCTTCTCTTTATGATTTGACCAAGGTTTCGATATCCACGTAAGTTCATCTTCCCCTCAATTTCGATTTTAAGATCTCGATAACTTTGAATTACTTTCGATTCCTTTTAACCTTAACGTCATATACTTCTAATTTCTTAGTTTTTATTCGACAATAGACATTTAATTATTATTCCTTCGATTCTTGATTCTACCTCTCGATTTTATATGTCACGCACTTCTAATTGAACATCGAATGGTTTCTCATCCATCTTTTCGATTTATCAATGAATCACATGTTTCTCGATTTTTCTTTCCTTCGTTTTTCGATCACTTTTCTCGATTTTCCACTAACACATGGATAAATGAAATTATTTTTACACAGTAGGATGGAAGGAACCTTGTTATATATTGCAGCCTGATATAACCTTTACTTTTTATCCATCGTTTTGATATAACCTTTACTTTTTATCCATCGTTTTCTTGTCCTGCTGGCTATTGATTATCTTGGACTTTTTTTTTTCAATAAAAATAAAATAAAATTGAAATATCCTGAAAGCGTGAGATTTGTGTCATCACTGACTAAAATATAATTAAATCAAATTTTGATATTTTAAAATTAAATAATTTAATGACTAAGTATCTTCAATTTTCTAATTTATAACCATTCTAATGCATGCAATACTACATTATTTTATTGGAAAAGAATTCTTTAAAAGTAATTAGGGCTATTATTTTAGAAAAAAATTGAGAATTTTTATTTTTGCATCAATTTTAATATATGAATAAGATATCAAATATTTTTTATTTATATAATTTTTTTAATATGTATACAAGAGAAAATTTGAGAGATTTTTGGAATAAAGTTATTTAATTAAAAATTATTAAAATGTGTTATAGTTAAATAAATGAATGGAAATGTGTTACTAGTTTGTAATGGAGTTGAATCACCCAACCTCTTTTGTTGGCTAATGGGCCACATACATTTACTAGTTTCAAATTTCAGTACTTCATAGTTATCCTGTTATCAATGTCTTGAATTGCTGAATATAAATTACTTAAATCATACATCAACGTGACTTGTTTCTACAAAAGATAAAAAATATTTACCAGCTATCACCTACACTTTTCCTCCTCTATTTAATCACATCTAATTTCTGCAAACATTTATTTCATAAATGTTCATTTCGTGCAAACATTACGTACTTGTGCAGTGAAACCATCTAATTTCTTAGATGCAACTCTTTGCTATGTTTAGTGTCTTTACTAAGGGTCTATGGATGTTTGATTTTGTACTGAATTAAGTTAAAGTCGGACTCATTGTTCACACTAATGATAAAACTACTTAAATAATTTTCATTTTTTATTATTAATCAAGCTTCAAACATTATATAATTATTTTTCATTTTTTTTTTTGGGATTTGATGAAATTTTTTTTGGTCATGCATATATTTATGAAGTGAATTCAAAGTGAATGTTTGAACACACATTCCAATTAAACTTTACCAGTTTGATAGGTAAATATATTTGTTTTATATTTTGTAATTTTTCTCTTGGAATTTCTCTCATCCACAAAAAGTTAAACAAGGTACAGTCTCCTTAGTTTTTATGAGTAAGGATGAAACCCATTGAAACGGTACTCTACGTGGTGACGTGTGAAAAGATTCACGGGTTCGCGCAGAGTATATGTGAGAAATGGTCCAACTTGATAGATGGGGAAAGAATAAATTACTTGAATCACAAATGACACTTTTTTTATAAACAAGAGATGGCATGAAAATTTTGAAACAAAGTGCTCCAACTCATTGATTGGGAGGGTGCTCTATCCATATGCTGGATCAATCATTCATTTAATTAGGAGAGGAGAAAATCATAACTCATTTACACCATTCTTTACTACAGTCTAGAAAGCAAAATCTATTGCCTGTGATATGTATGATATAGGCAAGACCATTTTGAGTTAATAGATAAAGTGATAAGAAGAAAAGGTAGTAGTAGCTTTTGGGTTAATTTGTAGAATGGGAGCAACCATAACCAGCACCTCAACACATGGAAACTCTCAAAAGCCAAATCATGTTAAGGTCTTTCATAATTTGAATTTGCTCAATTGATTCTCTACTGAAAAAAAAAATACCAAAATAAATTTTAATTAATTATAATTTAAAAAGATTAAAAATATAATAAAACTATATCCCATCATTAGACAATTCGTGTGACAATTATAATTAAGTTTGTAAAAGAAAAGGTAGAATAGTAGTATGACATGAAACACGAATGAAATGAATTGTGGCATGACAAAAGCGTCCAATTCTCAGTCCCGGAATTAAGAAACAAAAGCAAAAGCACAACTAATCTTGTTCATGCTTATTATTTTTATGCAACAAGTACAAGTTATTCCTTAACGAGCTAGAAAAAAAAATACGATATATGATAATAGGAAAAGTTTGGATATTTTTTTTGGGTGGGAGAAAAAGTTTAGATATTTAGCTGGCATAATGCTGTCAAATAAGTACGAATGGAGTGGGGCCTCCAAACGCGCCACAAGCTTTGACATAGCCCCCACAAAACCGTTTGCCACCGCTACTTCCCTTCCATCAAATTCTAACGTCAGACGCCTTCACGGATCAATTGCTTGCTTTTAAATTCCATTCCAACGTTACGCGCAACTTTAAAAGCCTCATACACCTTCACCAAACCAATCTTGTTCCAACAAGCATGGAATGAGTGAATGATAACTATTAATGGAGGTTTTGTTTATAATTAACTTGTATTAAAGGAGAAAGTATAAATCTCAAATATGAAAAATGATTTTTTTTTCTAAAAAAACCTTAAAAGTCTCAAAAATAGAAAATTGTAGAAGAAAAAAAAATTCTAAAATCTAAATAAGTTTAAAAAAAAAAAGTAAGATCTAACAATAAATTAAATAAAATCCTATATCAAGAAATCTACAAAAAAAATAACAATACAGAATCTTAAAATAAGATATGTTCTTCTTAATTAGAACTTATGAGTTTTTTCCAATAAAAATAATTTTAGTTAACTTTATCTAAATAGCTATAGTAAAAAGGATATTGAACATCCAGCTGGATGGTCAATCAAACATCCACAGCACTGACATTTTCCTTTATTTGTCATATTAAGCAACTATTCAAATTTCTGAATAGAAAAGACATGAAAGAAGAAAATAGGGACTACCAGACATCTATGAAGTAACCATTGATAACTGATTTATGCCCAAAATTATTAATGATAGTGGGAAAAAGCTGGTTTGATTTCGAGAGTTCACAGAAGACAACTGAACAGTTGTCTAGCCATCACAAACGACAGAACCCAATTCTATTGTGAGCCAAATTCTTTAAGAGGCTCCAATAGCAACCATATTGAAGAGTAACCTAACCATTATGATGGATCGAACCAAGCATCCACGTGCCACTCTACCAAACCAACCTACCTCTGTTCTAAGAAGTACATCTTCGGGTTTCATTTCGTATTGCATTTATCGAGTAGTGTTTCGGGCCAGAAAGGGCATTGTCCCTTTGTAGCGGCACAGATGAAATAAAAGCTGGAATCTTGAATTTCAATCTTCTTTTGGATAAGAGTAGTGGACAGCAGCACCCACCAAACACAAAATTGGACAGACAGACTCTTCATCAAAGCAGTGATGTGCACGTCTAGTAATTTTCCAGCTCAATGTTTAAATGCGGTGCGAATAACAAACTATAAGCAAATTTTAAAACGAGGGAAGAGGACCACCTTCAATTGCTACGAGCATCACATTCCAAGGGCCCCAGAAATCAAAACCCACTCGCTCTCTACCATCATCAAAGTTGACAAAAATGAAATTTAAATATTCAATTTGCCTTACCGCATTCCAATCGGTGGAGGAAGTAGCTGGAAGCATGACAAGGAGAATAATGTTGTTCTTGACTATGGCTATGAAAATTGAAAAATAAAGAAGAAAAATCCCAATGGATGTTTAAAGTTTTGAAGTTTGAACCACAATCTTACAAAAGAATCCACATAATATTACATAAATGAATCAAATTAACCAAAAAAACAAGGCTAAACTTACACATTGAATTGGCCTCAACTGCACTCATTTCCAATTTAAACCCTTTTCGGTCCACAATATAACACAATTATCGTATTGGGTGGATTTGATTTACGAGCCTGCAGGGAGGAGCATGAGCAAGAAAAAGCAGCACTATGGGTCCTCTTCACTCTCCAGTGCCTCCAAATAAATGTCTTCAGTAATTTCATAAGGCCTGGTTTTCCCACCTTTTTTCCTTTTCCGTGCACATTGTGCATGTAAAAGTACACAGTCCTGTCAATTTTTCATTATTTTCAGTCCACCTGTTCACCAATCAAGTCCAGACCAACCAATAGGAATGATATTCCCTGGAATAACAAAAAGTAGAAATGGATCCCTTGGGCAGAGAGGAGACTCCTTGCTGAGGCTGTTAGGAGTAAAAAGGCCAAAGCAAGCTCCTTCATATATATTCTGTTATGTTTTTTCTTTTTCTTAGAGGCCTTCTGCAGCTCCTGCCTTCTAAGTTCCTCTTTCATTACCTCAAGATCAGGTGCTGAGGACCCTCTTTGATGCTTTGGTCCTTTCTCAATCAATGAAACCAAATCGCCTTCAGAGGAGCGACCAGATTTCTTAGTGACCACCCACTCGTATGCACTACCTAGCTGGAACAGGCCTGAGATCATGGCATTGAACTTGGTAACTGACATGGTGTTCTCAAATAGGAGATACGGGACTATAAAGGGAAAGGCCTTTGGGGCTGGAAGAATGTTGAGAAAGGACATGGCAGCAGGGATGTAGCACACAACCCACGCAGGAAGTTCAGCCTCCGGCACGAACATTGTCATAGGTAGAATTATACAAAACAAGGTGAATGAATAGAATGGTAATATCAGTTTTCTAAGAAGGAAGAAGAGAAATATCATGTTGAATTTCTTCCACACACTTATCTGCAAAAACATAATTGACACCGATACTAAATAAGAACCACACCAACTACATTGGCCAACGTATTACCAGGCAAAAGAAGAGGGTATCGACTCTTGAAAATTGAGAAAGATAGACTTATACATATGCACACACACATAATACATACCCTGGACCGTACGATATCAGGCAAGCAAAGGCGGAACAATTGCATTGGCCCAGAATGCCATCTATGCTGCTGTTTCCTGTAAGCTTCATAAGATTCAGGGAGCTCGCATTGGCACTACAAACATCAACAGAAAAACAACTTGAAATCAGCTTGAGAATGAATTATTAGCAAAGACAAACTATTGAACATAACTGAAATGAAATAATGTGAATGGCAATCAACAAACCTCGACATCATTGAGGAAAATGAATTTCCAGCCATGAAGATGAGCTCGTACGGCAATGTCCATGTCCTCAACAGTAGTCCTCTCCAACCAACCACCAGCATCTTCCAAAGCCTTTATTCTCCACACTCCAGCGGTTCCATTGAACCCAAAGAAGTTAATGAAAATACCATTTACTTGCTGCTCCACCTCAAAATGAAAAGTCAGGTTAATGTTCTGCAACCTCGTTAGCAGGTTCTCATCCTTGTTCACAAAGGACCATCTTGCTTGAACTAGCCCCAATTCATCATTATCCTGCACCACCCCCACCAATCAGGTCAAACAAACAACTCATTTACCGTTTCATTGGTCTTCTAGCAACAGGACAATCACATTAAAAAGCAAACATCAGTTTTCTAGCGAGATTTTATAACTCATAACTCATAACTTAACAAACTAACGCAAACGACATTGATCGAATCATTAATTCCCGACCTTGAAATGAGGAACAGTTTTTTTGAGGAAATCTGGAGTGGGCTGAAAATCTGCATCAAATATTGCAACAAACTCGTAGTCTTTGACGTAGCTACAATTCATGGCGGATTTCAAATTCCCAGCCTTGTACCCATCTCTAATCACGCGATGCCGGTACAAAATGTTGGCACCCTCATGTTGCCACTTCTGAACCTCCTCCTTTATTAGCAACTGCGTCGTTGGGTCATCGGAATCATCCAAAACCTGAATCAACAACTTCCCCTTCGGCCAATCCAAATTACACACCGCAGCAATCGATTGCTGATAAACCTAAACAAACGCATCCACAAAAGCAACAACAACATAAATAAGATCGAAAAAACGAAACTTAACTTAAACTTAACCGACAAAAAAATACGAGGATTGTTTTTACCACTATTTCCCGTTCAAACGTAGCATTACCTCTTTCTCATTGCACATGGGGATCTGCACGAGGACCATCGGGAAATACGAAAAACCCTTACTTTCTCCAGATTCAAGATCTACAACTTCAACCCCACCTTTGGGGACAGGCTTGATCTTCCTAAACCGGATCCAGAAACATCCCAAACACAGAACAAGTCTATCCATACTCTGAATAAGAAAAAGCACGATGCACGCATTGGTTAGAAACTGCAGAGGAGGAGCGAGATACTCCACGCGAACCAAAACCCACCGCGCGTACAGCCAATCGAAGAAATCCTTAACTCCAAACGCGGGTGCCCATAGCAAATGCTCCAACTGAAGCCTCGCCGCACCGAAATGCCACCCTTTGAAGTAAGCAGCAACCTCGAAAAACAAGAGAAAAACGGAAAGCCACAGAAAGAGCTTGATGCAATAATAGAAACGCGTCTTCACGGTGGGGTTCTCGAGCTCTCTGCCGCCGTCGGTATCGGCGTCAGTTTTACCGGCGGCAACGCGGCGCTTCACGGCGGAGGCGAGTCCCCACAATGCTGGCGCGAGGGAGGTCAAGCAACCCGCCGCGCGATGAGCTTTAAGGAGAAGAACCCATGTGAGTTGTTTCGCGTTTTTTCCTCTTCCTTTTCCTTTATCTCGTGAAACCCCCGAAGGAGAATTTGGTATCATTAAGTCCTCTTCTTCGGGACCTTCCAGTTCCACCATCGACCAATTTGGGTTCTCCATCTTCACCACCACTGGGGTTCCCCTGTGAGTGTCCTTCACCCCCCAATTGAACAACGGTGGTGCCATTTTCTTCTCTGATCTCACTAACGGAGAACGAAATTATTATATATATAACAATGCCCTCTCTCAACTTTCCCTTTTTTTTTCTATTTCTCTTTTTTTTTTCTAATAATGAGAAATCCAAAGTTGGAGAAAAGGAGTAGCAGTGGTACACTACAACGAATTTGATCTCATTGTCGAGAAACGAAACGAAACGAGAACGAGAAATGATAACGGTGATAGACGCGTGGAGGAAGAAAGCAGAGCGAGGCGTCGCTAAGCCATTGTGACATTCGGAGAAAGCTTATACGGTGAATGTTTTAGATAGAGAACACTGTGACCTGTTTGGATGAGTAGTACAAAACAGGCCCCTCTCAACAACAATCGCAACAAACGTTGTCTTAAAAAAACTACGGAGGGAGAGCGAGATGTTGGAAAATGGAAAGTGGGATTAGAAAGGGTAACAGCTCAACACGTTTTTCTGTTTGATTCCGGGAATATTTCTCTTTCTTTTCTTTTTTTTTTCAATGAAAAGGAAATGCCAATTCACCAAAAATATTACCCAGAAAGCACCTTCGCCCGTCAAAGTCTTCAACCTTGGCAAATATGTTCCTTTTTCACCGTCACACAAAAAAAAAATAAAAAAAATCTCAGAGTTTCTTCTCCCTATTATCCATTTAAATATAGGAAAAGTGCAATCATGGTGAATTATAATCTCGCACAGGTGATGCTTAGGGAGACAATTGATAGAAGAGGAACAAAACCGCGACGTGACACGCAAATTTTCCGACACTTCCTTATTTTACCTTATTAAACCACCAACTCCTCTTAATTTTCAATAAACATTCACAACAACCACACAGCTAAAACCTTGCTGCGGTGATCTCTTTCAGAAAATGTAATTTTCAAAACAAAAATTACAGAGGTAGTAGGTAAAGAATTAAAGTTACGGATTTATCCTCCTGCGTGACGACATTGAAAGCTTCCACCTATCCTCTTTCTTTTTCACTGCTTCCTGGCGCGTGAGGATTTTAGGAAGGGGTAATTAATAATCTAATTTGTCTTTTACCACTGTGAATTTTTTTTAGAGTGGGATATTATTCTCATTCAAACCAGGAAGCAGCGGTGGAGAAAGGTTCAGAGAACAGCCAAGCGCAAACCAACGTGTCAAAAAGCCAAAAGGCATCTTTGGTTTTAATTTTTAACACTCCAATTAATAGTAATTAATTAAATAATTAAGGTGGTTTAATTAAATGTTGGTCTTTCAATGTGGAAGAAACCTATTGTATTTTCATATTCCATGATGGTTTCAGGTTTTTAGAGAATTGTTTTTAGGTTTTGGTTGGTGGTGGAGAACGAGAAAGGGTTGCTAAGAATTCCGTAGCCGTCCCATTCATTTGTGGAGCTGACCAGGTCCTGATTCTCCCACTGCACCACTAATTCCAAACACCAAATGAGGTATTCCTGATTATTAGTTAGGACAGAGTGATACACGCGCTCATTTTACCCACACGCGTATCATTCTCATTTTTGTAGCATAAAATTTAAAAGCTAAATCCGCTCTTCAGCCACACCACCAGATTTCATGGCATAGATTTTATACCATATTAGTCAACCTAAACTTAGGACAAAATATTACTTAATTCCGTATTTTTTAAATCAATTTTGTTTATTTTAAAATAGACACTTGTATTATTTTAGTAAATTTATATTTTTATTTATTTTAATTTTTAATCATATGTTATTTTCTTTATAGTTTTAATTAATGATATTTTCACTTCTTTTATATTTTAATAAAATAATACTTATTTCTCTTATTTTATTTTAAAATATTACTTAAACTAAAATTGAAATAAAAAATAAAAAAGTTTTTTACAATTAAAATAAGTAAGTTAATTTTTATTTATTAAAAGCATAATAAAATAGATGTTTATTTAAAATTAATAAAATGAATGTCCTTGTACTTAAAAATATTATAAAAATAAATATCTATTTAAAAATTTTGAAGAAAATATGAGTGTTAGTTTAGCATAAATCTCAAGAAAAATAAATGTAAGGTTTTTTTCTTAATATATACATATTACTGTTATTTATAATTTATAAAAATTGGAGAAAGAGTCATAAATTAAATATATATTACTAACTATTTCCGAAATTGTTATATTTAATTCAATAAAAATATATTCATGTCTTCTCTCCTATTTTAACGTAGCAAATAGACTGGAGTTAAAAAATTGCCGAAATATCATTTTCTATTATTCCGATCGTATTTATGAGTCTGGTAGACTGTGATTGAGATTAAAACAATATTTACAGAGAAAAAACATATTTTTGGATACAAATATAAGGTATAAATTAATAATTACTTTATCAAAAAAATATTATAATTATTTAAAATGCATTTGCTGATTTTTTTCCTTACATTTTGATTTAATAGTGGATTATCATATATTATTAATTCTTGTAATAACTAGTTAAAAATATATTTATAATAGTAATCAAATTTATTTAATTGATTTATATCATAGTACAGAAATATGTATAGAGATACACAAAATTAATTAGTTTAAACATGTTCTTAATTATATTTAATTTTTAAAGTTATTTTGATGAAACCTTAATATAATTCATGGCTAATGGTAATAACCTTATGGGTACTTGTGTTCATCCTTACTTGGAGGCTAGTTTGAAAAGGGTTTATGTCCATAACTAACCCAGATTTGAAATATTTTACAAATTCAACAAGTCAAGTCCCAACACGGGGAAGAGATAATGTGGTTTAAAGAATCAAGGAGAATTGGATGAAGTATGAAAATAAAAACACAAATTATTTTTATATTTAAACAATTATTAGTAAGCCTTATATTATTTCCTTTTTTAAGAAATAGTGCTTAAAATTGTGACCTTTGCCAACCTTTAGAATCTCACTAGTTTTTATCCCTTAAATCAGTGAATATATTTGTGAAGTCCCGAGTTAAGTGGGGAGAGGTTAAGGGCACAGTTTCTTCAATGGATTCCTGTAAAGCACCATGTCCAAATAGTCTTCTTCTCTGTTATCTTGAAATACTGACAGATGTTTTATCTAATTAAAATATCCATTCAGATTTGACTAAGACTCTAATTATTCTTATTTTAATGTAAATTTTTTCTACTACTTTTTAAGTGATGTGCAACCTATTGGTTGTTGTATTATGACTCCTAAGTTTATTTCTAAAGTGTCGGTTAACAAGATTATATCTCATTTATATAATCTTTATTAAATCGTTACAAAACAGCTTAATTTCAAATAAAGAATTGTAATCTCATATACCTTTGTCACTTCTAATGTAGCAGAGCTTGAGGAAAAATATATATATCAAGGTGATTCTAATGAAACTGACTTTTTTAGATTAAAAAAAAAACTTTTTGTAGATGAAAAAAAAATTAGAAAGAAAGATTTATAAGAAGTTATCATCCGAGTTTCCTAACAAAATTTATTGTCAAAAATTAAAAATGTTATACGAGTACAATCTTATATATTATAAGATAACTTAAGAGATGATATGTATGATATTTGTTTTTTACACACTAAAAAAATATATTATCCTTACACGTGAGAGAGAAAAAAACATCTTAAATCCCAGACAGCGAATAGACCAGTGCCCAATCTGGGGGCGAATTTTAACAAGATTGCTACGTTTTTAATTGGCAAAAAAAATAAAATATTCCTCAATACATTATGAACAAAAAAAAAAGTTAGTTCAATTAATTATTTTTGTATATAAAAGTATCATTATATTTAAATTTAGACACCACCTTAAGAAATATAACTAAATATTTTTTCTCATTTTCATGGAATCAATTGTATTAAATGAATTTTAATTAGTATGAAATTAAGTAATTTTAGTTGTACTAGTCTAGAGATAATATAATTTTTCTTTTGAATATTTAGATATTTAGTCTCTTATTATACATATGATACAAATCAATCTCTAGATTTTATAATTTAATGTTAAAATTGTGTAAAGTTACATTTTTATGTTAAATTGATGTACGAAATTATAGTTTAATGAGAAAAATGAATCTTTAAGTTTCAAAGTTTGATTAATTGAAAGATTAAAGTCATTACACTTCACACATTTAGTGAACTGATCATTTATCCTAATTTTGTTAATGCTATATTAAAATTAAAAAGAGACAAAAAAAAAAAAAAAAAAAAACTAGTGAGCAAGAGTTGCGTGTGCCGTGTCCCATGGCAATACTGATGGGGTGCAAATTAGTGTGAAATGAAAATATATTTTTCGAATTTTCCTCTTCAGTTACAGCTAAAGGAACCATGCCATGGCCACCACCCCGTCTACGTATAAAAGCCACTCTCCTTCCCGAAACTTCTCGCTTCTCTTAAGCCACGCACGTAAACGCGCTTTATCTCGAAATTCTCGTGCGGCAAGCGAATCAGAGAGACAAACTAGAGCGAGAAAGAGAGAGAGAGCAAGAGCGAACACCGCACCTTCGTGTTCGTGGCCGGAGGTTCCTTGAAATGTTGGACAACTACGTGCTTGGATGGATCGTATGCGCCACGCTGAGCATATTTGCGGTTCGCAATTTCGTTTTCGCGCAGAAGAAATGTTGCGCTTCGTCGGAGACCGACGCCGTTCTGTGCGCGGAAAACATCACCACTGCTGCCGGAGAATGCAGATCCTCGAACCGCGACGGCGAAGTTGACGTCCTAATTGTCGGAGCCGGTGTCGCGGGCTCCGCTCTCGCTTACACTCTCGGCAAGGTATTTTTTAATTTGTTCTCTCCTTTTAAGGTGTTTTGATTGTTGCCTGTTTCTTCGTCGTTTATGTCTTACTCTTGCGTTTTGTCCAAAACCAGATGAAAAACGCGTAGTCATTTCTATGATAATGATTGATCGATTGGTTGATGGCAGTGACGGATGTGCATTAGATTAAGTTTCGCTTGCATGTAGTTGTAGCGTTATAGAAACGGAGATTATTAGAGGAAGGAACAATGCTAGTGTTTGAAATGAGTTTCTCTAGACTACTATTGCTTTTCTTCAGTGCTTCGGCAATTTGAAATGTCTGATTTTATTCTTAACCACGTTTGTTAAAGAAAAATTACGATACTGCGTTGGCAGGTGATGGATCCCGCACCTGAAGACTTTGAAAGTCGAACACTATGGAGTTTGATTTTATTTTTTTTCCTTCTAAGCAGCTGAAGATGTAATTGTCTGATTTAGGATGAACAAGACTTTAGGTACTTTATTTTTCTATTTATTTATTTTTTTAAAAATACTCAAGGACAAGCAGTTAAGTACATGTTTTTGAAAATTTTGTCGGTTTTAACTTTAAGATCACGCTGCAGCATAGCTGTTTGAGTACCTGTTGTTTCCATGAGTAAACAGTTTGATTCTAGAGGCATTTACTGAGAGACAGAAATAATTTTTTTAGTATTACTTTATCCTGTGTCCAAGTCAAACTAGTGCCCGGAAATTTCCCTTTTATTGATGGATATTCTTTATTTATGCTTGGTGATCTATTTGTATGGCTCGATTGTAGTTGTTCCATGGTATAGTGATGTTTAGTTTAGGACTTTAGGTTATGCGGTCCAGCTAGTTCTATCCTTCTCCATGTCCTTTTTTACGGAATTTTTTTTGGGTTAGTATACGTGCAGAAAGAAAAAGAAAAAGAAAAAGATACAAAAAAGAGGGAGCTGATAAATACGATAAATAGTTTGATAAAGAATGAAGTGGTAGATAAGAATATAATATTTTTATAGTAATTTTTGGTTGTGGTGTTTGATCAGTTGGAATAGAGACATATGATTGGGATTTTTTAAGTACTGTTTTCTGGATCAGATTCACAATTAAGGTTTGATAGTATAATTATCATCTAATGTAGGATGGACGTCGAGTACTTGTCATTGAAAGAGATCTGAGCGAACCAGACAGAATAGTTGGAGAGTTGCTACAGCCTGGAGGCTATCTCAAGTTGATTGAGCTTGGACTTGAAGGTAGTGCAAACTTAACTATATGCACATTTGGCTTATAATATTCTACTGTGACTGATCGTGAGTGCTAGAAATTATACTCATTTTTCTGGTCAATTTAAATTTGTCTAGAGCAAACTGTAGAATGACCATGGATTCTTTATTACTGCAGATTGCGTGGATAAAATTGATGCTCAACAAGTGTTTGGCTACGCTCTTTTCAAGGATGGAAAACGCACAAGACTCTCTTATCCGTTGGAAAAGTTTCACAAGGGTGTTGCTGGCAGAAGCTTTCACAATGGTCGTTTTATTCAAAGGATGAGAGAGAAGGCCGCCTCCCTTCCCAAGTATTGGTTTCTTCCTTTACTTTCCAGTCCTTGTTTTATAAAAACTGACTTGCTCCGGTGTCGCACCTGCCTACTACACACACAGGGTTTAGTTTTTGAGTAGCATATCATTTTACTTGATTTTTCAAATTTTTTATCATGGATGCCATTTGAACTGACTTGGCTAGATATTTTAATGATATTACTTTGGTTTTACAATCAGGTTGCCTCCCTTTATCCGATCATTCGGACAGCTATAAGCTATAACTATTACTGCTCCCTATTGCTAGCCAATATAATTCAGAAATAATATTTAACAATTGAAAAACAGACCTACCATTTTAAACTTGAACTGAAGTTGTACTTTCTTGATCGCGCACACATATACGTATAGTTATTTATTCACTTATTTATTTTTAATTTAAAAGTGTACAACTGGAGCAAGGAACAGTTACTTCCCTACTTGAAGAAAAGGGAGTAATTAAAGGCGTGCGGTACAAAAGCAAGGATAATCAGGAATTATCAGCTAGTGCACCCCTTACCATTGTTTGTGATGGCTGTTTCTCAAACCTGCGTCGTTCTCTTTGTAATCCTAAGGTGATAAACTTCTCATCTTATTAAGCTTAAACATGATTTAGTTTCCAGAGTCGAATAAAATTTGGCTTTCATACAAGGAATTAACATTTTGATATTATTCATTTGGAGAGTTTCCCCCTTCTCCAGGATAAATGTTAATGTTTGCTGAGTAGTCTGGCATTCCTAAATGCGTTGTTTACAGGTAGATGTGCCCTCTTGTTTCGTTGGCCTAGTTTTGGAGAATTGTGAACTTCCTTTTCCAAATCATGGCCATGTCATACTGGGAGATCCTTCGCCAGTTCTGTTCTATCCAATAAGTAGTACAGAAATCCGCTGTCTGGTTGATGTTCCTGGTCAGAAAGTCCCGTCTATTTCCAATGGTGAAATGGCAAAGTATTTGAAGACAGTGGTAGCCCCACAGGTACCCATAATGCCCGAAGTTCTACAAAATCTTTAAAAACCTCGAGATTTATTTCAATGAGAGCAGGAATTTATCTCACATTTTCGGTTAATATTTTTAGATAATGATAAGGGGAAAATAATGCAGGTTCCTCATGAGCTTCGTGACGCATTCATAGCTGCAGTGGACAAAGGCAGCATCAGGACAATGCCAAACAGAAGCATGCCAGCAGCTCCTTATCCTACTCCCGGAGCCCTGCTGATGGGAGATGCATTCAACATGCGCCATCCTCTAACCGGTGGTGGCATGACTGTGGCATTATCTGATATAGTAGTGCTACGAAATCTTCTTAGGCCTTTGCGTGATCTGAATGATGCACCCAGCCTCTGCAAATACCTTGAATCATTCTATACCTTGCGCAAGGTAATGTGCTCTACAACATTGATTCGTTGAATTGAGGCAACCACCTACTTATTTCCCATACGGAACAGAAAAAAACACGAATAGTGGCCTCTGCCTGTTAGTTAACTATCTTTTTCTTTCAATTTGCAGCCTGTGGCGTCCACTATAAATACTTTGGCAGGAGCCCTTTACAAGGTCTTTTGCGCATCATCTGATCCAGCAAGGAAGGAAATGCGCCAGGCTTGCTTCGATTATCTTAGCCTTGGAGGTCTATTCTCGGAAGGGCCAGTCTCTCTGCTTTCCGGATTAAATCCTCGGCCCTTGAGTCTGGTTCTCCATTTCTTTGCTGTTGCAATATATGGTGTTGGCCGTTTACTGCTACCATTTCCTTCACCTAAACGGATATGGATCGGACTTCGATTAATTTCTGTATGTAGGAACTTATTTGTATTCATTGTTCTTTTATCTGGATAATTAATCGGAAAAATCCCTTTCATCATCTAACTGCAAAAATAAATTTTATCTTTTGTCAGAGTGCATCTGGAATCATCATGCCAATAATTAAGGCAGAAGGAGTCCGTCAGATGTTCTTCCCTGCAACCGTTCCAGCTTACTACCGAAATCCCCCGGCTGCTTAAACACGAATCACTGAGTCTGTCTACACTATCCATACCAATGTTTTTAATTCTTTAGAAATTTAACGGATTCAATTGAGATATTCAAAAACAGTCTAGTCTAGCTTTAACGTGAGTTCTCTACAGAGTGGATTTAGATTAGAATTGATTTTTAAATATGTTTTAATGTATTACTACTTAGATTTTAAGTTCTACTTACAATCACAGATTTTCAATGCCGCCATTCCGATGTTCAAAGCGAGAACCATAAACGGCATGGATCCCGAGGAATAAATATAATTCATAACTTCACAAAAATAATTTCGCTTAAGTTGCGGTGCTCGAAATCTTGAGCAGCTTAACATTGCAGGTTGTAACATCCATTGTCATGTTTCTTTGTCATACTCGAAAGTCCAAGGATCAATCTGACACAACATATAAAAATTGTAAGCTAAAAAAAGTAGGCATTACATAACTCTTGCTTTTGTTATTCACCAACCCTAGAATTGTATATTGACATCACATAATACCGAAGCCAATCTAAAAAAAATTCATATAAAATATAGCTTCACACAAATTTATTAAGTTATTAGTCAATTCGGAAATGAAGTAAAAACAAAACCCATTGATCAGATTATAAGGTTTCTAAGCCACCTTACAAGCATGATATCAAGCTTCCTTACCAAAAAGGACACTAAAGTATAAAACTTACCGAAAGAAACTTGTATCAGTTTTCTTTAGCACCATCAATAATATTTTTCTACAGTTACCAAACGTAATCTCTGTTCACGAATTTAACTGAATTAGTTTGTTAGATAGCAAATCACTTTTTAAGTTGCAATGAGGTATCTAATTGATAATTAGTTGACAAAAAACGATAGATAAATAAAGTTAGCATTTACAATCCAAACTCCAGTCTAGAAATGCCTTATAAGTCAACGTAGACCGTTCCATTCGTGGTAAAACTTGGCCTTGTAAAAATAAGATAATGAAATGGGTCGTCGAACCAAGTATTTGTGTGAGTTAACATTATATGCAGCAACAGTGATTGACAGGGATACTGCATGGAATAAAACGTGTGCTCTACACAGTAGTAATAATAATGCAAATATAGTTTGGTTACTTTGAAGGGCTGCAACTGTGTATATGAAGTGGTTAATGGGCCAACACAACCCCGTCAAATCTACCGAGACCTCATTACAGGGATATTAAATATATGGCTGGAATGCTAAATATTGAATACATAACTTTATATTTGATACAGTTGACAAAAAAAAAAAAAATCCTACCATAATCTACTTCTCTAAGCATAGCAGAAAATTTACTCACAGCACAACTATATTTTAGCCGGATGATAATTCAATGAAGTAACGAGGAAGTTTAATAATCTGGAATCCATCGCATTCTTTCGGTCCCAGGATAGTTGGGCAGAATTAGTTCCTTCTTTCCTGTTTTATTGCCTCGTAGGAAGTCAACACTTCCTTGAACTTTGCCTCAGCAGCCTCTGTGACATTTCCACATACATGGATCTGTGAATAATAATATTATGGCTTGAGGTTCAAAATCGTATGCACTGATAAATCAAGACCTACCAATATTATCCTGGTTCTGATCAGGATGATACTCCTTTGCCTTGGTCCTAAATGCTGTCTGCAAAGACGAGAGGATATAAATGAAACGAAGACAGAATATCAAGGTACTGTCGAGTGTAGAAAACACAGAGCAAGAAGCAGTAGTGTCAACAATAGCAACATATTTAACAAAAATAAAGCACACTATACGAAATCAGATAAGGACTAACTTATGACAATTAAAGTATAGAGAACTATGGTCTCTAGGGAGGGCATTTGTTTGTAAATTGGAAGCAAATTATTGCAGGGTTTTAATTTTTCTGGAGCAATAAGCACAAATCATTGGTGACACCGAGGCATCATTTTTATATGGCTTCCCCGGGTTCTACAGATAGTTATGAAACTAGTGTTCAAAAATGATGCTCAAAACCCACGATTTATGCTTAGTATCAATTTAGTTTCTGAAAGAAAATAAGAGAAAACACGTTTTTCTACAAGGACGAGCATGATGCGTACAATAACTGGTGGATAAAAATCCTAGTAAAATTCTAACAGTAATACGCTAGTATTGCGACAAAAAGACAAGTTACCTTAATCTCAGCATCTGAATATGGCGTTTTTCTAAACCTGAGGTTCATCAAAAGAACAATTAAATGTCTGATCATGAATTTAAAACAAGAGCGTTTTAAGTATTTATAAAGATGCTCATTTACAATTGAAGCAAAAATGCACCATTGCAAGTTGTTGGGGAATTAGAAATTAATAACAGAGGATGGCTCTGTTGAATAAGAGAAAGAACACAAGCTCCACTAGCAGTTAAGGTATAGAATGATTCCTTACTCATACTCCAGAATACCCAATCCCCCCACCCCAAAATCTCTCGCAATACGAACTTCCACCTATTCAACTATTCAGTTAACACCCTCTTCCTCGTTGAGTAAGTAAACTCTCCATTCTGCGTGTTTCTCCAGTCAGGTCCACAAAATTATCCACCTGGGCCTGCTCCTCCTGATTTACTGTATGCCCGGTGGTAAATAGCAATCAACCAATTGATATTGGAATAATCATAGGTATACGGAACAATCAACCTATTGATATCGGAATGGTCATAGGTATAGGAAGAAGCCTTCTAATTATGTTGCAATTGTTAGTATATCTCAAAATCACATACTTGATACTTGTTTAGCTTTCTAATTACATACTGCTAAACATTGTTGTCAAAATCAATATCTAGGGAGGGGTTGAAATATAATATATCACATGATTGTAAGATCCTAACAACAATGCAACATGTACATACATATTCATAGAAAATAGCATATATAAGGAAATAACCTCCAATTCCCATCACATCACTGAATTTCAATTAAACTAAAAAATTTAAAGATCCAATTGAATTTGTAATTAGCCACACAAGTTATAAACATTATTTTTGCATAAAAGATAGATTTCAAACCATGTTTCCTTGAAAAAGAACGAAACAAAGAGCAAAGAGACAAAGACAAGACAAAAGAAAGGCACAAGAAAGACAAATCACACAACAGATGTATGCACAAGTTGCTGAGAAGGGCAAACCCAACAGCAGGGTGCACAACAAAGACAAACTGAAGCCAGGCACCCATACAAAAAGGCCAAAAAATTTGAACTGTGAATCACTGACCAATTAGGGTTTTGAGTCAAAAATCGGCTGAGGGAACTAGGGCGGTGGTCATGCAACAAGAAGATTTGAAATATATGAAATGGAGTGGAAATTGGATGAAAAGGTGCATTTTTCGTAACGAGTCCCAAAACCTGACTTGGAATTCCACTGGAAATAGGGTTGCTATCACACAATTGTACAGGATCTTTTGTGATCCGCTGTTATCTCAGAGTCACCATTCAAAATAACTAACTCAGCTCGTATCTGGCCCCAAAGATTATAGGATCATGATCACAATCTTAATCGTGATCACAAGAAAAATGTTTCTTAAAGGTGATTGTCTGTTGAATGGTGTGTGGATGTATTTTATAAAGAAACCCGTGTAATATTTCTCCTCATCAGAAATTTTCTTCCCCTCAACTCTTCTCACTTGATTCTTTTTCCTTTTATTTCTATATAATATAAGCAGCTGTTATAAAGTGATGTAAGTAAAACGATGATATTTCCCAAGAAACCACATATTAGATGGACTACGTTATTCAAGATTCAGTGATTACCTGTCAAGACCCAAAATTGAGTAGTGATGTGATAATGCATAGTTTCCAGTCTCTCTTGGAGTTTCTCGATAATTACTCCTCCGTTCTCTAAAGGATGTATCGGTCTTCCAGTACCAATCTTCTCTCTGGAAATTCTGATGATATGCACCATGACCGTTTTCCCTCCAGCTCTCGTAGCTTCTTTTATACTTATTCCTTTCTCTGTTAAACACACTTTGCATACGCCTTATTCGTTCCTACAAAGAGCATATGGACAATCATCAAGAAGCATTTTGTAAGGATTAAAGTGTAATCCTTGGATTATCATGTCATTTATGGGGACTCAAGAAAATAGTTTTTAAGTTTTCTTATTTGATTTTAAGACTCATAATTTAGAAAACTCATATTCGAATAGCTTTTTATATTTCAGGAAGATTATCAAGTATTTATCATCTTTGTTTTTAAACACATTTTCAGTGCCTTATATTATTTAGACTGTTCAACATAATTATAATAAGGAGATTAATTTTCCTCAAAATCTATGAGTATCAGAAACTCAGTTAGAGTGAGTCTTTGCCATAGAGAATTACCTAGTCAGCCCTAGTTGAGTCCCATCAGCTTAGGTTTATTATTGTTCTACATTCCTTTGGCTTAAGCTTAGGTGCCTACAATCATCTAATGAAACATTAATGCAACCTAAACTTTACATTTGTTTCTGGCTCACTATGAAGCATTAAAAAATGATTTTTTCTCAAAAGATTGATATTCAGCCTTCTGAAAAAACTATAGTATAGCACACCTTTCCATCTAAAATTTGAAAAATGCAATGCAAAGCTCGTGTGGATGACCATAAAAATAAAAGAAGTACACAAGTAGCGAGATTAGCAACAAAAAACTCACCACTCTTTCCATCTCCTCCTCGTACTCCTCTTGCATTCGCTTATTGTGCCTCCTCCACGCCTCTTCCTGAAAAGATGTTCGGAAAGAACCACCTCTCTGTCCTTTCCGTGACTGTGTCCTCGATAGCTACAACAACGATTAACATGTTCAAAACCATGCACCATCAGTTTCACCGTGAATTGAATCTCAAATCACAAGATGGTTATGATAAACTGTGAAATAATACTAGTTGACAGAAAAGGGAGAGACTCAAAGTTTTGTATGAATACATGAAATGATCGAGTGGATTAGTCACCATTACACAGGTCGAAAGACTAACAGGCTCATAGGTCTGTGACTAACTGATACGCGCAAAATAATAGAAGAAAAAAACCAGCACTGTTCAGGTCTTACACAATCAAATCATCCGAATAACACGACGAAAAACAGCAGATTCTCAATTTTTCATATATCATAATAAAAGTGCAAAACCGTCAATTACTAATTCGATCGCTCTAACAGATTTCAATGCGTTTACTCGTAACAAAATTTAATTCACTTTCCTTACCTGAACATAGAACCAATCAACACTCCTCCGCAGCTGACCGACCTATAAATTTCGGAAGCAATTGTAATATTCGAATCGAAACGCTAATTAAATTTTAAAGAAAAAAATCCGTATCTGGAATCCTCACGAGCAAAATCTATGATCGATAGAGAAAAAAACAAATTTGAAGAAAAGGAATCACCGCAAAGGTAGTGACGGTGGCGCCAATTAAGCCGAATAGTAGAGCTCCCCAAATCTTCGTGTCTTTCTCTTTATCTTTCTCTGCGTCCTCCTTCATTGCGTAAACAAACTCAACGATTTCTATCACCACCGATTCCACAGGTAAATAATCACACACCACATCCTTTGCCACACTTTTCATATATTCGCTTTATTCGGAACTCGCCATTCGAAGTCGTTGGCAATTCACATACTCCCTCGCGTGAGATTTTTATTTTGTTAATTAATCTTAATAATATGCAGTGAGTTATTACTCTTCCCGAGCCACAGGAAATTAAACATTTCTTATATTGGGCCAGGGGAATAATAAAGAAAGTGGGCCATTAGGAAGCCCGTTATGAACCCATACCGTTCGATATTGTTATTCAAACCAACCAACCGACACTTGGTAAAACATAGCACCAGGAATTTTAGTTACATTCCCACGAACCCAGTCTCTGCTTCTCTGTCTTCTTTTTTCGTTATCCATACGCGTGAAGGACAGACAGAATGCACAAAGTTCAGATCTAATCTCTGATGCCAATTGCATAGAGAAAGTTCAATAATACTGATTTTGCTCTGGTAAGCACCAAGCAGAGAACATTGTACGGATCCGTGTCCATCAGTAATATGGAATAACCTTCAATATTTTTTTCTTCTGATATATCTGCTACTCTTTCGTTGGTTCCAATGGCCTGGTAGTTCTTAGAATTATGCTCCTCGATGTGTTGGAGAAACGAAATTTTCAAAATAAAGTCTATGTATAGGGTGTAATCTTACCTCTGAAACTAGCTGTTGAGGTTTAGATAGTGTGAATTATATGATATTGTGTGGCTATAGCTATTTTACTTAGTGATCCATTTATTGATATGTTTATGCTGATTAATCTTGCAGAGTACTATATAACATTAATATCGTTGTGGGGATAACAAACAATTGAATGATGTCACGGAGACCTGGGAATCCGTCTCGGCGATTTGGAGACAGCGGAGGTGGATTGTTTTCATCGAAATCAAAATCTTCGCCGGTTTTGTCGGTTGGGCTCATAATTGTGGTAATGCATAGATTCAGATTATCTACACATGGAGCTTAATTATACGGTTTTACAATGAGGGAGATTTCTAATCATAGGTTGGTAACTTTTTTAGGGAGGCCTGTTTCTCATTGGCTATGTGTACAAGGGCTCAGGTTTGATTCCGATTTTTTTCACGTAAATTCAGATGATGTTTTCCTTTTGTTATGCCTCCTTAGTTCTTACATTGCTCTGGTTTGTTACTTGTTATTTTGTGGCCTTTTCCTGTTTTACTTGCGTGCATTATTTGTTTTTCCTCTCTGATGCTTTTTATAGGTGGATTGGGCGGCCGTTTGGAATCTGTCAGCAGGCTTCAAGGTACCATTTTTCCCTTAGTCGTAAATGGCATTTGCTTTACTTTCTATTTTTTAAGCTCTTATTATAAATACGAGGGTGGTATTTTGTTGGTACTGCATTAATTGTGCCGTGTTTGAATTTTTTTTTTTTTTTTAATTTGGTAATTCTCCATACAGTTACTTCTTGATTATGAGAAGTTTTTTAGCTCCTTTGTTGAGGAAAAATCTATGTACCTTTATGGACTAATTCATCTGGGGCATTACAAATGTCACTAGTGATGTGAGGAGAATTATTAAATGATTTTTATTCTTGTGAAAAGGGTGAGAGTGAAGAACACTGGAAGATGTTTTTAAGAGAGATTTCAGATGAGTAATGTTTTTTGAGAATTGCACTACAGTGCCAACCTGGTCTGATTTCACGCTTGCAACTGCAAAATCAGGCTCTTATTATATGCTCAAAATATCTAACACCACACAATGTGAGCTGTAACCTTTTGAAATAATCACTACATACAACAGTGACTTGTTTTATCTTTTCTTGTTTCAGGATGGCAATATCCTGCCACTGATTATGTATCCCTTATTATCTTTGTAATTTTACCTAAAACAATTCTAGTTGGTTTTGTATTGGCTGTGCTGTGCATTATGGCTTATAAATTGTGATAACCATCTGAGTTCTGATTTGTGTAAATAGGATAAACGATATATAAAATGAACGCACTGTTGCATGCTTTTCCTACCGTGCTATTCACTGTGTTTAGCAGACCGGTTTTATACTAATGGTGCTATTCTGTAAGGAAAGACCAATTTTTGAGCTGAACAATTTTCCGGGTACTTTTGCAGTTCATATACAAATTCAATAATATTCACTACACTGATTTCTTGTGTATGTTTGGGAAATATCCATAAATCATGATAAAGGTTTCTGGAAATCGGGCTTTTAACAAATTGTGGTCTGGCTCTTAACTAAAAGCCATAACTTATCAACATTCTCTATGATAAATATATTTTTGATGTCATTTAAATAGACACATAATTAGCTTGGCATTTGTTTTACTTCCAGATGTACTGTAATAACATGCAGAACTTTCAAATGATAGGTGATTATTTGTGTACTGGAGAAGTCCGACGAGCAATTCCCGTTTTACAGAAAGCATATGGTGATAGCTTACATAAAGTTTTGCATGTTGGTCCTGATTCTTGCTATGTGGTCTCTAAATTGCTGAAAGAGGAGGAAACTGAAGCCTGGGGCGTAGAACCTTATGATATAGAGGAAGCTGATGCTAATTGCAAAGCACTTATCCGCAAAGGCATTGTGCGTATGGTTGATATCAAGTTTCCTCTTCCATACAGACCAAAAACTTTCTCTCTCGTGATCGTTTCAGATGCCCTTGATTTCTTATCTCCCAGATACCTTAACAAAACTCTTCCGGATTTGGCAAGGGTATCAAATGATGGAATAGTGATATTTACTGGTAAGTGCACTTAAATTAGTGTCTAATGACGTCTATAAATAGATAAAATACAGTGAAAGGAGAGTCCTCCGGTCTAGCATTAATTCATGTAGTTTTATTAGAGTTGCAAAGCACGAGAAGGAAATGAAAGTAGGGTAATGTTTCCAGCATAGCATTACTTTAGTTCACAAGCTATTAGAATGGTGTCCAATATGACATTTGTTTATTAAGAAAGAGTATTTTTTAGCTTAAATGAACCATACACTTAAATTATTCTCTGTTACTGGATTGAAAATTGACTAAGGCATTATTTGATTGAAGATTTTATATGTTACTAAGATTTTGAGACTTTCATGTGTTGGTGCTGGTAGGATGAAAGATTATCCTTAGCAGTAATCAATAATCTTTTGAACCTTTGTCTGGAATATTAGCATCTGATAATTTTGTGTGTAAATGTAGGTTTTCCAGATAATAAAAAGGGTAAGGTTGCTGACGTTTCTAAATTTGGAAGAACGGTGAGTACATTTTATCTAGAGTAATCATATTTTTATTGTTGTCATTGTCTATTATTGTGTGTAACATATATATATATATATATACATATATATATATATACATATAGTTTATAAACAAAATAGAGGAAAAGAATTTACGGATTTGTTTTGCTTCAGGCTAAGATGAGGAGTTCATCCTGGTGGGTTCGTTATTTCCTTCAGATTAACTTAGAGGAGAATGATGTTGCTTCCAAGAAGTTTGCACAGGCTTCAACTAAGAGTTCATACATTCCAAATTGCCAGATATTCCACCTGAAGTCTCTCAACTGACTTTCACGATTATTACATTTGTACTATTGAAGCTCACCCGTGTGTTTCATCTAAAACGCTTTCTTCTATAAAAGGTAGTTTTAATTTATCAAATTTTAACTAATTTTTCAGTTGAATAGGTGATCTTAAGTGCAGTGGCAGTGATTTTTGTACTTAAAGGAACATTACTTTTTCCTTGAGATATAAAATGAATCTCATTACATACTCTGTTTTTTCTCTAGTTATATATTATCTTTAAATCATATAAAATTAGGAATGATCAAACCACATGCTAATTTCCATATATTGGATCAGAAAACCAAAATGAAGTTCTTTCTCGTGCTTATTCTCCACTCCTGTTCTGAGCATGTATATACTGTATTTTAGTAATGAAAACACGTCATATCCTGTCCTGTATTCTATAACAAAAAAAATTTCCCAATCTCTGCGCATCAGTTGCAGTTTTCTAAATTCAAATATAATAAAATAAATTCTTCAATTACTCCATCAATCTTGTAAAAATATAATTAAATTGAAAGAGATTGCATTCTAATCTGTTCACAGGAGGAAAATAGGTAGTAAGATTTGATTTTAAGAAAAATGAAGAAAAACGAAAAAAAATGAGGTAAATGATTAATTTAAATGTGTGAAAAGTTGTTTATTTAATCTTTAAAAAATAAAATATTTTTTAAGTTTCTAAATGTATAAAAATCATGCAAAAATACCTTTTACTATTAGATTGTAAGAACGAATTTGATAGGAAGTGGATAATTATTTTGCCGTCGAGTTATAAAGATTATTTTACAAATCAGATATTCAATTATATTTTATTTTCTAAAAGATTAAATTACCAACTATTTATGAGAACCAATTTGTTCATTTGAAAAAAAAAAAAAAAAGGAAAAAAAAGTTGGAAACAAATTTCTACTATCTAGAGAAGCTATGACTAGGTTAGGCATCCAGTTTTCAGCCTTGGATAGGATGGGTTCAATGAGATAGAATCACGTGTCTATGTTTCTTGATCCTCCAATGAAAAAATATACCTAATTGAAAACGTTTAAAGAGATAAAATTAAATGTTACTCAGGATACCTGCTTAAAATATATCTGTAAATTATTTTATATTTAAGATATCAATAAATATTTTATTTTTTATTTAAAAATTATTAATTAAAATATAAGTTATAATAAGAAATTATCTTAAAAAAGATAAATATAAAAAATTAAACTCCTTATCATATAATTTTAAATTAGTAATTGATATTAATAAAATATTCAAATAAAAGTTATTAATATATAATAAATATTCATATATATATATATATATATATATATATATATATATATATATATATATATATCCCCACTTATTAATAATATATTTAAAATATCTGTATTTGTGCATATTTATTAAAATATATATTTTATATCCGTTATAAATTTAGCTGCAAATATCAGTTGTCATTTTTTTCATTTTTATTTCTAGAACAAAGTAAAGAAAGTGATACATAAAGGAGTAAATGATTTCATTTGGTTCAAAAGTGGGTTTAGTGAGCCACATAGAAAATGACACAACCTGTCTCTGTTTATTCACATTTGTACTAAACTCTTTTTACATAGTTTTTCGTGCTATGAGCAACGAACATATAAGAAAATTTAGGTTATCTAATTTATCATAATGGTTTGTTTCCTCGAGAAACTGCATCGCTAAGGATGACATTACAACTTAACTATTATTAGAATAATAAAAATAGATAGGTTTAATACGTCTACGTATTTTCTGTCAATTATTCATGAATCACAAATTACTACAACCAATAAAGATACGTGATCTAAATAAAGAAAAATGAAATATTTTAAAATTGTTTCTATAGGTGGATTTAGTACATGAATTTGTTTTTACTTGTTTTACTTAGTTTGTTAATGTGACGGTGGAATAATAAAAAATATTATATTTTGATATTGTATTATTAAAATATATTATAATATTATAATTTAAATAATAATTATTAATCAATTAAACTTAAATATTAATTGTAATTAAATATTTTAATACATAAAATAATATTTTTTTGTTTATTTAATAAAAATATTAATTAATAAATATTTTTTTTAAATTATATAATTAAATATATATTTTAAAAATATATATAAAATATTAATAAATTAAAATATGTATTCTATCGTAGGTTAACTCACCTATTTCATGTTTTGTTACCTTTAACTATTATCAATTTATTACTAAAAGTGATTACTGCATAACTCACTATTTTACACATTCATTTAAAATATTATAACTCATTAAATTTTATTTCACTTCACCTTTTTTTCAAAAAAATTTCTTTATAATTAATTTCTCAAAAATAAAAAAAGAACATATTAATGAGTTTATTTTAAATAATAATACAATTTAGTATATATCTACGTAAAATATATATTTAAAATAAAATAAAACATTTTAAACTAAGATAAATATTTTAAAATTTATAAATAATTTATTTAGTTAATTGGATAATATATTTTTTTATAATAAATGTTACATAATTTAATTTTTTTTAATAAATTATTAACTTTTAATATTTTTATATTTAATAAACCACTGGTTCAACATATATATAATCAACTATTTTCCTTATCAATTAATAAGTTACAGGTTAGCATTATTATTTAAAATTTTTTAAAAACTTAATTTAAATATAAAATGCGTATTTTATTTAGATTTATACTATCATTCAAAATAAATATTTAAATATATGTATTTTAATTATTTTAAAGTTCACAAAAATAATTACTTTTTTATTTTATTTTAGATCATTTGTGAGGAAATCTTTAAATAGAAATAAATGAAAAAAAATGTAGTGTAGGTGAAAAGAAACTGTAATAATAAAGCAATGTTAGATGAAAAATAATCAGTTATCCAATTTGAAGTGATTGTATGTAAATATAATAAGTGAATGATAATACAAATAACTTAAACGTTAGTTTCAATTAATAATTGTTCACATTAAATTTATGAATGATTTGTATTGAAAAGGATGGTGTATAGTATCATTCAATTGAAATTGTATTTCTTTACTTGACTTAAAATTAAAGGGGTTTTGTTTTTTAGTTATCATTAGATTCAAATCGATCAAAATAAGTTCAACTATAATTTTGACATATTTTGAATATATAATTCTAATTAGGAATTTGATGTAAAATTTAATTTTGTGTAAAATTTGTGGAAATTTTAAAAAAAAATATCATCGGATTTGAGGTAAAAGAAACCTAATTCTATAAAATTTTGCTCAATGAAATAAGAATTTAATTAGTGAAAATTTTAAAAAAAATTGGAAATGAAAATTTTCTGTATAACTGTGATTATTAATTGAGAATATCTGTAAAAAAAAAAATTGATGTATAACTGTGAATAATAAATTATGATGAATAAAATTTTGTTATGTTTATAAATGATGTAGAAATTCAAATAATTGTAACGAAGATATTAGTATATGATGATGTATAATATATTTGTAAATATAAAATATTTAGATGTTATTAATAGTTTTAAATCATCTAAATTAACGTATTATATAATAAAAAATTGACAAAAATTTCGGTCATTTAATTAAAGAAGAAAGTAATCATAATAACTTAATCACAATAAAATTGCCCTATTATATTATGATTATTATATGACAATGGTATAAGAATAATGTAACAAGTGTCATAAATGTTAATCATTGAATTTAAATAAAATATTACTTTATTAAAAAATCATTAAGTATTAGTTTTAGGGTTCAATAAACATATATTGATAGGTTAATAAATAAGAATGTATATATATTATTTTTCATCTTAATTTTTAAGTGATATAAAATTTACAAATGTAAAATACAAATCTCAATCGAAAATTAAATTCATATTCCTAGAATATGAAAAACAATAAGATTAGAATATCCATGATATAATAATTTCATTATAAATAATAGACTTTTTATACTGATTATTTAATTTAATTTACGAACAACGTACCCATCATCCACTCCAAAAATATAAATTTTGGACGTAATTATTTATATACAGTATTTGAATTTGTAAGAACTATTTATCCTAAAAACAACTATTATTTATATAATTAAGCATATATGTTTAAAATTATTTAATTTAGTTTAATAGTAACTAATTATTTAAATTAAATTTTAACATTTATTCTTCTCTTACACATTTTTATAGTACATTCCATAGGACTTTGTAGGGACTATGACCTATTTATTCTAGGACTGCAACGACTATATCTAGACACGTGATTTAGGGTAAAAGTCATGAGGGAATTGCATGGCACACACCACTATCATAAAACTTTTATCACAATTTGTAAATAACACTTTTCATCCCCGTCCCCCACCCCTTGCCTCCATAGTGGAGACATTCTTAAGTACGTATATACTTCATCCAAATTGCTTATGACATCTATTTCTCACTTATTTATTCTACTTATATAATATATGCAGTGTGAAGGTTTAATCTAGATTGTTCAAAAAATTTGTTTGAAAAAATAAAAACTTCATGTGATTGTATAATTGCAACATATTTTAATTCAAAGCAAATCAATGACAATACAATATTTAACTTTAATTAAATTATAAGTAAAATGATTTTTTCTAACCCTGTCGAGATATAAACTTTTTTTTAATAACTATTAAGACAAAATAAATTAATATAAATTTGTGGTTATTATTTTAAGATAGACTTGATATATAACTACCGATTTTTTATATTTTTATATATAGAATTTTTTTAATTTACGCATTAAAACAACATATAAATTACTAGAAAAATAAATAAATTAATTAAATAATATAACTTATATGAAATATAATTATGAGTTTAAATATGATTTAATAAAATAAAATGACTTATTGATTAGAATGGAAAGATATTTTTTAAAATTGATGGTAATAATTTGATGAAAGTTTGTTAAATCAAGAAAAATAAAGGTTTTATCTCCTATTAACCATTAAGAAAGAGTGTGAGAAAAAA